TAACTGTTTTTAGAAACTATACATGGTCATTACGCTTTTATCGCGTATACTTTCCAATAAGGTACGCTTAAACTTTGAGCGAAAACTTGCTACACTAGTAAGGAACATACATCAAACATAAACGCCATAGAGTGTATGTTATTAATGTGTGTAGATAGTACTTATATGTTATATAAAATAACACTAATATTATAATTAAACTTATAACTACTTCCTGTTCGCCTGACAATTCCGTAACAAAAAAATAAAAGAAAATGTACTATGGAGATTACATAACATATATTGACTAATATTGACCGTTGAAGTTACTTCTGTAACAGCTTGGGCGCTGCGGGAAGTGCAGCGCGTTCGTCCTTGCGTAGCAAATTGCAGGTACCCGTGCGAGCTGTAGCGACTGAGACTTGTCGCCAAAGGCGGCCAATAAGCCGAAGCTTCGGAGGACTCTCCCCCCGCGCCTACGGATTTACAAAAATACTCTAGAGGTAGGGCAGACAAGAATACGTGGATTCGGAGCGTGCTGATTCAGTTTTAGAATCTGTCGAAATGATTCGACCAATCATCTAATTAGCCGTGTTTTCGCGAACACCATAGAAATTTTGCGAAAATACGGTTTATCTTATAATTATCCTACGACATGTATTAAGTACACATAATTATATTTAATTATGACAATGAATGCTGTAAAAAAGTATGTGTCAAATCATTGAAGTAATATGTACTTACGTACTAGAACAGCTATTTCAAACAAAAAATGTTAGCTACTCTGTGGTCGCGCGGTTGGTCTTTTTATCATAGAATAAACATGGGTAGAATGATCAGTAGGTAGTAGTATAATGTATTGTTAAATAGGTAAATTATATCGAGAACAATTTTTAAATTTTGTTATTTATTTTATATATTATACTTGCTTATTTAATACAATATTACATTATATTATATCACAATTACATTTTAATGATATTTTTATCTGAATATTTTAAAAGGTATTCATGTCAAATATAAAAAAACATACTAAATGTATTTTTAACTAAACTTTTTAATATAGCATTTAAATTACAAATATATTTATTTAAATTAGAATAAGAGTCGTTCATAAATGCTGGGCACGCGAGAGTTAAAAATGGACAAATTTATTCCACTTTGACTTTGATGTGTAAACCTAAAAATAAAATAAAATAATAATGAGCAGATTTAAATATAAAAAATTTAGCCTAATTATGATATCTTATATATGTGTAATAAAATATTCCTCCTATACTTAAGTTCCCACAGAAACGTCGCATATGAACAAATTAATTTCACAATCTATATTACATGACACGAAATATATTCCATGACACGAGATGGCGTTTTAGGAATAATTTGTTTTGTTATTAATCTATAATACTTTTTATTGATTAAGTATCTTACTAACCGATGAAAAGTAATTCCTTGGTTTTTACTGACATTTTTTGAAATATTTGTGTAATATCTGAGTAAGCACGACGGCATATTTTTGTCAGGAGAATATTTTTTAAATCAACACAACACGTGACAACTCTACAAGTGCCTAGCGAGTGACTGATTAAAGTGCGGTGTAAACACCGCAGTTGAATGCAACAGAGTAGCTGAATGCAGTGTCGCCTCTAGTACGTAGTACATAATAGCTCAATGTGTCAAATTGACAATTAATTGTATATCTTGTTGAAGGTAATTGGGCATAATATGAAGATAAATAAAATTTAAGTGCCTTTATCATAAAAATACTACTTTTATAATTAAAATAATTTTGTCCCTCACAAAAGATTTCATTATTTTAACAGTTACCTTTAAATTGCCATAAATTAATAACTACATGATTAGTTGATAACTAATTGTTGCGTATTTTTTAATATAATGACGTTTACTTAGTAAATTTCTGAGCTCGTATACTTTACTTTACATGTTACGCGTTTACATCCTAAATGTATACAATGTTAGAACATGTCGAATCTAGTCTTGTATAATCTCTTAACTAATTTACTGAATCAGCGTTAGAAAGTATACGCAACTAGTAAGCAGAAATCGTGTATATTTTCTGAAAATTTTATTTGCTACACATTCTGAGAAAAATCTGATTAAAATCCACCTCAAAGCATTACTTAAATAAAACAAGAGCAACAATCCAAAACTCCAAAAGTTGCAGTATTTTTTAACTTTTTTCACCTCTCTAAATCTAGTACTTATATAAATATTGTGCAGAAACAAAATCATTTTATAAAATTTTACATAATATACAAATATAATCACAAGTTGAATAAAACTAATTTTACGGATTTTGGCGCGTTTAATTTGATCATGGGGTATAGATGTATTTTTCTCATCTGATTGGACTGAACAATATAATACATAAAATAAAACGATAAATGTACATTAAATAAAGTGTAATATATTAATACATAAATAAAACAAAAATCCTCGGCAGGGGAGACCCAGATGGTAAGGAGGAAAGGGAAAGATGATGCGGGCGGTTTTTAGGAGCACTGTCTTTTGTATTTGAGCATGAAGCGTTCCGTCACGGAGTCCCAGTTGGCTCAGATGAACCGAGAGACTAACCGGGATTACCCTATTCACAGAAATGACCACAGGTATAATTTTGTTTGGTAGATCAACTCTCTTGTTGCTCACTTCGTAAGTTAGGTCCAGATATGTTGTTCGTTTATCTGCTTCGGCTTTCACGAGGTTCTCGTCTTTCAAAATGGTAATATCGACCATCCTGTAGCAAAAACAATCATGTTTGCGATGATAGCCATATCCTAGTAGAGCATATTTTATTTTCGATCACAGCTTCCGTCAAGTTATACGTGGTAGAGCCACGACGCAAATATATTATGGTTGTAGCACGAATGGGTCAGCATGACTGAGGTGAGACCACGCTATCACACAATACCAGCGTATAACAGCATAAGGTGTTGTTATGCTGCTGTTTTGTATGGTAGTGTGGAGAACCGGACACCCTTTTTACGAGAAACGAGGCAATTCATCTTAGTCCTCAGGGGTTAATTCGCATCTGCATATTGATTCTTAATTGACAATACGACGAGGTTCGACTCTTATTGGTTTCACGACCACCGCCCAACATCAATTTCGAGTGCGCGACATTACCTTACTTGAGTCCAGGTGACGAGTAATCCTCGCACTTAAAATGGATGTTAGTGTCTTGTATTAATAATCATAATAGTAATAAATATTTATTTGCTTAAAACATGGTACATTTTTAGGTCTTATAACATAGTGTGAACATGCATGTTTTACCGGTTTATCGGTATGCAAATATTACGTCAAAGTACAATTGAATTATTAAAATTAGAAAAATACAAAATTACAATATTATTTCATATTAACCTCTCAAATCCCAAATGGTCGGATCGACCACGGTGATATTCCGTCAAATCCCAAGTGGTCGGATCCGACCAAACCCACCCACAGCATTGTGACCCAAAATACTTATTGTTAAATGATTTCTTATATTTACGCGAACACTACACATTTATTAAAACTACTTTTACTTATATTTAGAGACTATTTTTCTATAAAGGAAATTGGCATTATAGAATCAATATGAAATTTTCTATCCTCTAATGCAATAAAAAGTCAGTTATTCTATATATATTTATTTATAATCTACGTTCATTACGTACGCCATTTTCATTTGGATTTTGTTGTGTTGATTTTAGGAATTTTCTAGTGTTTTATTAGTGTTTTAGTATAGTGTTTTATTTTAAAATTTGTATGAAACTTTTTGTGTGAATATAATTTATCTTTTTACGTTAATAATAAAAAGTAATATATACAATTAGTAGTGATTTTCACGCTGCCGACATCTGCTTCGTATGTACCCGTTTTTTTGTTATCAAAATGCAATAATCTTTTTGTAATTAAGTGAAACCTGAGTTTTCTTTAGAGCACAGGGTGGAGAATATTATATATATTTTATAATACCAAACTTCTTCATAGAAAAGTAGTCTAAATATAAGTTTTAATGGTTGAAAGTGCTGTGGGTGGGTGCGGTCGCATGCGACCGCTCGGGACTTGATGGACGCGTGCTACTGAATGGGATTTTGTGGGGATTGAAGGGATAATTTGAATAAAACAGTAAATAAATATATACAGGCATGGTCATGTCATAATGCATAAGTAATGTCAAACTAGTACAATGTCAATCGTACAAACTCTCATTCATTTGTCAATTTAAAACTTCATACATCAATAACAATTCGCTTGAGGTGACCGTTACGTCAGAATTTGATAAATTCATCTGTCATAAAAACATTTTTCAATCAAAATCCCGAAAAAAAAGTTCAAATGTCTAGTTTTGAATATGGTTCGGAAATAAATTAAATTGTCGAACGCACATGCTATAACTATTTCTAGCAAAACAAGTTGGGGCTGTCTGGGGCACAGATAACTTCCACGGGTATTTTCTTGTATATAGTAGATAGACACGTGATGAAGCAATATTTGCTTAGGTCTGTAGTATCCTGGTCTTTACCGACTAAATGAGTGTTTCCAGGGTTTAAAAGGCTCGGAAGCGACTTCTGATCGAGATCCACACATAGTGACACAGCCCGTCAAGTCCCGCACTTTTCCAGCTCAGGGCCCTACGGACTGCCTCAGCTACGTCATTCGGTATAATGATGAAGTGACCCTTGAGCATAACATTCGCAAAAGAACTCGCCACAACTTCTTTTAAAAGGGCGTCGCAGTGGTTTACGGACTCTGACCAAAGGCCGCGCCAGAACGCCACAGTGTTGGCCTGTTATGGAGCTGGGTCCCTTCCACGTACCACTGGCTACTCCAATGATTTATAGAGCCTCTTTGATCACTCTGGAAGAGCCAATTCTCGTTCAACCTCTCGGTATATCGCCGAATCCGCTTACACCAAGCAGTGATTCTCTGCTTCAGGTGATTTACGCGCTCCATCAGTTTATGCGTTGTATTTGGCTTGAACAAACTGACATTTGTCCCAGCTTAATATAACGCTAATTTGACGATGCGCAAAATCCGTGGCCTGTTATTGAATTAACTAAAGCATATAAGTCTGCTGACAAGAACCTTAGCCTCTGTGATACGATCCTCAATTTCTTTTCTCCAGGCTGGGATGGATCTACTCCCACTTCACTCTCAACTGCACTTCCAGCAGTGGGATGCTTAAAGCCAATAATACGGCAATCTTTCAGTGCGGCACCAAAATGATTTGAGGCCGTCCCGCAAAGGTTCCAGCTGGCTTCCAAACAGAACACCAGCATTGCGCTTGGATCTTTCATGACAGCCCGATTCCGCTTGCTTAGAGTTGTGGGAAGAAGTCGCGGTTGATTTTCAAGAGGCATACTTCGCGTTTCTACTATTCAATAACCATTAGAATCAAATGAAAGATTCATGGCGTTATCCACGTGTGCGGATTGTGTTATAAGTAAATTGTAACTTAATAACAAAATATCATACTAATAAGGCCATCTATTGGTATATGAGTGTAAATCTGCCTACTCTGTTATAGGTGACTATGAATAAAGGTTAGTCTGTTGCAAACCACCAAGCGAGTTTTATTAATTCAATAGATTACTCTGCAACGTGTGACGGCGCATCCCCAGCCAGTATTTTCATTCGACGAGGAAATGGCCTCACGTCGTAGCCATTCGAGTTCGGCGCCACCAAAGTATTTTTGCGTGACGGTTATATGCGTCTCCAACTTAGCAATAACGCGATGTATTCTAGTCCGGTACGTAAAACCTCCGACTTCTTCGCTAATTCTTCTTGTTGTAATAACTAAAGAAGGCTTTTTAGGTCAAAATGTAACTCGTGTTTGTATACAGGGTATAATGGCACTTATAAGATTTTTGTATTACTATATTATGTCGATGATTTATTAATCTTTGGCACAAATGCACATGAGATTACAAAACTGAAAACTGCTTTGAACAATGAATTTAAAATGAAAGATCTAGGTTTAATTACAGAATTTTTAGGAATTAATGTTAAACAGAATTTTCAAAGAGCACAACTGTATTATTACAGAGAAATTACATGTAAAATGTACTTAGAAGATTCAATGTGGAAAATTGTAAAGCAATGTTGACTTCTATGGATAAAAATTTTTTATACTAAGATATTTGATTATGATGTTAAATGTGATAAAACATTGAAGGAATTTGTAGACAAATAATTGGTTGGTTACCTTGACCTTGAATAATTGGTTGGCGTACCTGATACTCAGAATCACGAAACGGTATTCGCTGAAGGTCATACAGGTTTACGCACCAACCTCGGCACATCCCGATGAGGAGGTGGAGGAAATATATGAGGATATTTCCAAAGCCATGCATTCAAATGCTCAATGACCTCAATAGTGCCTCCCAACGGATAGGTCTTAAGATGAACATGGACAAAACAAAGATTATGTTTAATGTCCATGTCACACCTATGCCGGTAGTTGTTGGGAGCACTATGCTCGAAGTTGTTGACGAGTACGTTTACCTGGGACAAATAGTCCGACTAGGCAAGTCCAACTTCGACCGAGAGGTCAATAGACGGATTCAACTCGGCTGGGCAGTGTTCGGGAAATTACGACATATTTTCTCGTCAGGTATACCACAATCTCTAAAAACTACAAACGTTGTACAATCACAACCAGTGCGTGTTGCCAGTGATGACTTACGGATCTGAGACGTGGTCCTTCACTGCTGGCCGTATGAGGACGCTCAAGGTCGCACAGCGAGCTATGGAGAGGGCTATGCTCGGAGTTTCTCTGCGTGATAGACTCAGAAATGAGGATATCCGCAGTAAAACCAGAGTGACCGACATAGCCCAACGGATTAGTAAGCTGAAGTGGCAATGGGCCGGCCATATAGCTCGAAGAACCGATAACCGATGGGGAAGAAAGGTTCTCGAGTGGCAGCCTCGTACTGATAGACGTAGTGTAGGGGACCCCCCACTAGATGGAGTGACGACCTGGTAAGATATGCAGGAAGTCGATGGATGCAGGTAGCTCAGGACCGTGCTTTGTGGCATTACTTGGGGGAGGCCTATGTTCAGCAGTGGACTTGTGAAGGGCTGTAATGATGATGATGATGAATTGGTTGGTTAATGTATACTGTTTCAGGCATTAGGCTTGAACAAATGCAAATAAGGTATGGTTAGGAGTGCTTAAGAGAGAAGTCACGTCCGGACGGCGCTCGCCGCCGGTCACGTCCGCTGGTCGTCGGCTTCCGCCCGGGAGAAAGAAGTACAGCGCGTCGCTTTACAGTGGGTGTACGCGCCGTGGGGTGAACTTGGCTTACGTCGAGCTTCGAGGACGCCCCTGACCCCTCCTGGGACGACACATACTCTACACTACGTGTCACTTAATGTGCTGAGAAGCGAGCTCCGGAAGCCCGGCGTGAGAAAGAGCGCACGCCTGTTGGCGACATCGGCTCCGTGTCAAGATCCGTCTCCGCGGGACCTGGAAGTCGCTGACCCTTCGGCAAATCTCTTCTCAGAGGCGCGAGGTACGCCGGGAATACCTAGGAACCAGCCAGGCCATCAACTAGATCTAAGGAGGAGCACCTGAGGCTCAGAGTGCTGCTATCAGGAGCGCACACTTGTCGGCAGGATTGGCCCTGCGTCGAGACCCGTCCTCTGCGGGACTCCGAGGGGCTTCGAGACTTCTGACCCTTCGGAAGTAACTACCTAGTGGCACGCGATATGCCAAAGAGGAGAACCAATAATTCCGTCCCTGTACGGCTCCCAGAACCAGCCCATAGAAATGGGCTGTGATGATTGCCCGGGTAATGGGGTATGCCCCGAGGCCCGAAACCTGCAGGGATGAAAAATAGTAGTCTTTCGCAGACGACAACACGAAGCTTAAGGGAGTGTTGTTTTATGAAAAATATACTTTAGATTATAAGTTAAACTATAAATATATAGATACAATTTTGCAAGGTTTTTGTGACGCTAATTGGGTTGGTGACCGAAAGGATAGAAAGTCTACTTCAGGTTATTTGTTTATTTTTTAGAATTGTTTAATAGTATCGTGTTCAAACAAACAGTCATCAGTAAGTTTGTCTTCAACAGAAGCTGAATATGTTTCAATGAGTATAGCTGCTAGTAAATCATGCTGGTTTGTTAATATGTTACATGATTTTGATTTTAAAAATGTCTGTACAGTAAACTTATGGTGTGATAATCAGTCAGCAATATTAACTGCCAGCACTGAGTCTGTAAAACGATAAAAACATGTGGATATTAGATACCACTTTGTAAAAGAGTTAATTAAAAATAATAAGATCTGCATTAAGTACATAAGCACTTGTAATCAACCGGCAGACATGTTAATAAAACCTATATGTAAGTAAAGTATTGATTAAAAATTATTTAAACAATGTGGTGTGGGTGATGGATATTAGGCAAAGAGCCATTATTAGTAATTTGATATTTTTTATATATAACATTGTTTGTGACTTAACATTTTGTAAAGCTTCCAATTTGTAAGTCTTCGATAGATGGCGTTGGCGTCGAATTAGAAGTCTTTAGTGTTTGGCTTCCGCAATTTGAATAGGTCAATGTTGTTTTATTTTGATTAAACGAGATCGAACCGGAGATCAACTCTGAGGTCAGTACGCAGTTGTGGTCTTTTATTTAAAATTCCCGCTTACTACAGTTCAACTCAATCTCCTCTAAATACCATCCCGGTATATAACAAACATTGAGGTTGGCTATACTGATTTTTTTTTGTTAAGTTGATAACACTGTATACTTTCCTTTTTATTGGCATTGTCCGCTTTCTGTAACTCTATTCCAAGTTAATAAATACAGTTTTTTTGTATTCGTGAAGATTACTTAAGACTTTTATTTAATAATCACTTCACATAATTTATAGACATGACCTAATAAACTTAGGTGAGATTTAAGGGTGTCGCCGATTATACAAAAGTATTGTTGCAAACAAAACACCGTACCACACTCACATCATAAATGAAATTGGCGACTGAGTGACTCAACTGAAACAGATACAATCATAATCCAAACGCCACAGGACAACCAATATGGCGGCATGATGGCGGCGTGGCAAACGCATTTATTGTGTTGTGTACTCAGTAGTTACATCACCTAACTGCAAACTTTTTTCTTGGTTTTCTCCTAATATCTTACGGTTATCTGTGTATGATCAATGTTTCTTAATCTAGTTATACTCGTATATTAAATTATAGGTACATGTATTAACGAACAGAAAAGAACATAATTGAATAATTAATATTTTGTAATCTTTTACCTAATGTCTTATGGTTGTCTGTGTATGATCAATGTTTCTAAATGTACATATTAAATTATAGGTGCATGTATTAATGAACAGAAGAGAACAATAATATAATAGAATAATTAGTTAATATTTTGCAATCGTTGGTCTCATTACAATCTCATACTGCAAATTCTCTATTTTTTATAATAAATTATTAAAAATGATTATATGCGAGTTAAGTCGCGGGTACAGCTAGTTTAAACATAAAAATAAATTTAAAGTGTCAATAATATTTAAACAACTGGCTTCTATTAAGGTCAGAGGGTTCATTATTTGCACGTTGTTAAAACAAAAATAACCATTGTTAATTTTTTGTCTATATATCTGTCCGTCTATTCGGGTTAATCTTCCGAAGGGCGGAACAAATTGTGTTTAAATTTTATGAGCAGATAGAGAGAAATGCTAGGAGGGATCTAGGAGAGTATTTTATTCCAAAAACTAGAGATTTAAAAACAAGCAAAAACTAAATGATTTTAACTTGACTATCTTAAATCTAAATAAGCCACATAAATAGATCTTACTAAAACTGAACCGGGCCAGCTCGCTAGTTTAATATAATAATAGTATAGTTCTCTCGTGCTGCAATCACTGTGCTAGACCTCTCACACCCGTCCCTTATCTGAGCATTTTATATATGACGTAAACGATTTGGTTATATCGCTAACTATCGAAACTCATAACATTTTGCCGGCATTTCCTGTTGTCGCCTCTAACAACATCCATGGCAGTAAAGGGATGATAAACGCCGCCATCAAGCGATTATTGCACCATAACGCATTGCATGAATTATATTTGAAAATATCAGCTTATAACTAAACAAAATAAGGATAGAAAAAATATCTTATAAATTACACTATCTTATTTATAATAGATTTTGATAAACTTAATCTTAAAGAGTGTTTAAATATTGGCCTCCTTTGTAAAGTAAATTCATGGCAATAGATTAAAGAAACGTTAACTATTTGCATACAGGCGAGTATCCTTAAAACTTGAAAGGAGTTACGGCTTGTGGCTTACTCAACAAAATTTAATCACCCTCTTATAGAAAGTAATTAC